CACACACACACACACTTCAATGCTGAAGTTGCAGATGTCATTATATTTCATCCTTAAATATTTCAGCATCTATCTCATTAAAACAAGGTTGTTCTCGGTCAGGCACGGTGGCTCACCCTTGTAATTCCAGCACTTTGGGAGGCCAAGGTGGGTGGATTGCTTGAGGTCAGGAGTTCCAGACCAGCCTGGCCAACAGCATGAAACCCCATCTCTCCTAAAAATTAACTCGGCATGGTGGCAGGCACCTGTAATCCCAGCTACTTGGCAGGCTGAGGCAGAAGAATCGCTTGAACCTGGGAGGTGGAGGCTGCAGTGAGCTGAGACGGTACTATTGCACTCCAGCCTGGGTGACAGAGAGAGATTCCATCTCAAAAAAAAAAAAAAAAAGAAAAAACCAACAACTGCCCCCTGCCACAAAACCCCACAAAGTTGTTCTCTTATATAATTACATTATAATCATCACACCCCAAAAATTTAAAACAGACACAACATTATCTAATATACAGTCCATGTTTAAGTGTCTCTGGTTGTCCTCAAAATGTCCTTTGCATCTGTTTTTCCCTCATCCAGTATACAGTCAAAAATCATGGATTACGTTAATTCTTTAGTGTCCTTTAAACTAGAAAAGCTTCCATGCCTTTATTTTGTTTTTCATTAACATTAACATTTTTGAAATATCTTGTAGAATGCTTTACAACTGAGATTCAGCTGACTGTTCCCTCAATCAGGTTTAGGTTAAATCCAATGGCAATACTACTACTAAGGTCATGTTATTTCTTTTCCATTGCATCAGAGCAGAAGGCATACAATGTCAGTTTATCCTATTATAGGAGATGCTAGGTTTGATGGTGATGGTGGTGTCTGCCACAACTTTGTGATTAACAAGTAATATGTGGCACCACGTGAATATCCTTTTCCCAGCCATCTTTCACTTGATGGTTTTAGAACTCCTTAATGATTCTTGATCTTCCCTCTCCGCTTTTCTTTTATTATTTATTTATTTTTAACTTTGTAGAGACGAGCTCTCACTATGTTGCCCAGGCTGGTCTTGAGCTCCTGGCCTCAAGTGATCCTCCCACCTTGGCCTCCCAAAGTGCTGGAATTACAGGTATGAGTCCTTTTCTTCTAAATCCACTCCAGTCATGCTTTCATCACCATCACCCCATCCAAGCTGTTCTTGTCAAGGTCACCAATGACCTGCACATCGCTAAATTCATTCATTTCACAGTCCTCTTTTTACTTGATGGAATTGAGTAAATTGATAACTCTTTCTTCAAATACTGTTTTCACTTGGGATCCAGAACACTGGTCTCTGAGTTCTTCTCCTTTGTAGACTATGCTTGGTCCTTCCCAACCTTTCCCTGGCCCAATGCCTCTAAACTAAATCAGTTCTTGCCTGGATTATTGAACATAGCCTGTAACTTATCTCCCTGCTTCTACCCTAAGTTCCCTACCATCTATTCTCAATATAGCAGCTAGAAAGACACATTAAAAGTATAAATCAGATTGTGTTATTCCAATATGTAAAAACTTCAAATGGCTTTTTACATCACTTTTTTTTTTTAATATTGTAAGACCTATCCAAGGCTTTCTAGTCCTATAAGATCTAGCCCCCTACCTCTGAATACTTCATTTCTTACCACTGTATTTGTTGTTGACTTGCTGTAGCATAGTCATGTTGGTGCTCAAAAAGTTTGAGATTTTGAAGCATTTCAGATTTCTAATTTTTGGATTATAGATGCTCAGCCTGTATGCTCT